TGTTTCAGGATATACCTGCATCTCAGGATTTAAAAATATGCAATACATTAACCAAAATTTTAATTCTTTTTACAGAAATCAATGGAGGTGACCTAACTAGTAGCATATTTAAAATACTGTAAGAGTCAGGTGCAGTGGTACACACCTGTAGTCCCGACTGTTTGGGAGGCTGAGATGGGAGGATTGCCTGATCTAGGAGTCAGAAGCAAAGGTATGTTATGATAGAGCCTGTGAATAGCCACTGCACTCCTGCCTGGGCAACACAGTGAGACCCTGCCTCTAAAAGAAGTGCTGTTAAAACTGGGTCTATGAGAGTATCTTTTAAAAAAGCAGATACCTTCACCAATTCTTATAAAAGAATGTAAAAGAATGTGATAAAGCAAAGATCCTTAATTGCAGAATATGCGGGAATATCCACTGGAGGGCAGCAAAATTCTTTTTCTTCAACATCTGAACTCTAAAATTGCTTTAAGCTGCAAGTTATAAATCTACAGAAATTTAGGTTGAAGAACACAGACTAAAACTACAGGCAATGAAACAAGTTATAAAAGGAGATCTGATTTACATAAATAGATGCTATAAATACAGAAATACTGTGAAGAGAAGACAAGATAATCCATCTGCACACTGGAATAGATATTAAATCTTATGTACATGATTTGAAAATTCTACTTTTTTCTCCAGAGACAAAAGCTATCAAATACATACTAGAGAGAAAAACTTGCATACAATTATAGGAACACCTAAACATTAAAGTCTGAGTTCTTCTGCATAACATTTATTCATACTTTCTAAGGATCTGGGCCAATTTTTTAAGTAGGCATGTGCCTCAATTAATTAAGAAGAGATCAGAGCTCAGAAATCTTGGGGTCAATGTTTAAATATATTTGGTAAACATTAATGTTACTGTTTGTGGCATAAAAGTCTAATAAACCAACCATTGGTTTTATGCTAATATAAGAAAAATAAACTATTAAAAATAATGTAAAATCATATATATCAAAGATATAATAAGACAGTCTAGATTACTTTAGTAGTAGAAAAATATCTTTGCTAGATGTAACTTATTTGCAGATTAGTATTTCAAAAACATTTTACAGTAATAAATGCTTGGAAAATCCACTATCATGTTGTAGTGCCAAATCAACATTTCTGGACTCTTCTACAGATTCAATAATCATTTTGCTCAAAGTGTTATTAAAAGTTATTTTCCATTTTATAAAAAAGATAACCTTTATTGTTTCATGAAGTTTCATTCTCTGTTACACTTTTATTTTTTCCAATTAAAAAAGGCTTTTTTAGTATTGAGCACTTCATAGACTTTGCTTATATTCAAAAGCCTTCTAAGTTTAACAGACTCTATTTTACTTTTAAAAGGACAACCTTGTTATTGAAGAATGAGTTTGCTACAGTAAACAATTCAGTTCTGCTTAAGTTAAATAAAATTGTGAAATAACAAGCCTATAAATGTGGAAACCGTAGGTATTTTAAAACTGCCCAAACAAGATGTTTAATCAAAACCCAAACACTAACTTTTACAGTCAATTCAAGAGTGGGCAAGTGAAAAATCAATGTATTAAGTTCTCCTTCACAGCATCCTTGAAATGGTAGTGATATAAAACTACCTATAAAAGACCAGGATTTATAAAATTTTATTCAAAAAAGGGAGAGATGATGATAATAAACAGTTGCTATAAGAACACATGCATCTAACAGATGGCAGCCAATACATTGTTTTCTAGGTTAAAAAAAGTTTGAAAACACTGTCAGATAAATAATTTTTAACTAATCAATACAATTTTAGCTATAAAGTCTTTGTAAGTATAAATTTTTTTTTAGTATAGTGACTGTGTATTTTTAAGTTGAACAAAACAATATTTAAAAGTAACAGAATATATTACTTGCATAGGCATTCCAAGAAACACAAACAGTAAATCTGCATGAAAAATTCCATGATTATACATGAAAAATAACAAAATACTTGGTAATGTTAAACTGTCCATCCTTTTACCAGTAGTTCATACTATTTAAGACATTATATTAGAGTTGCTGTAAAAATAATTATGTATTTATTTTTGAGACGGAGTCTTGCTCTGTCACCCAGGCTGGAGTGCAGTGGTATGATCTCGGCTCACTGCAACCTCCGCCTCCCAGGTTTAAGTGATTCTCCTGCCTCAGCCTCCTGAGTAGCTGGGACTATGGGCACGTTCCACCACCCAGGTAATTTTTATATTTTTAGTAGAGACAGGGTTTCACCATGTTGGCTAGCTGGTCTTGAACTCCTGACCTCAGGTGATCTACCTGACTTGGCCTCCCAAAGTGCTGGGATTACAGGCATGAGCCACTGTGCTCGGCCAACAATGATCAGGAATTCCATGACTATTACACGGAAAAAAAATCACTAGCCTTGTCACTCTCTTGAAACCCTTTTACTCTCATAATAAAAACTTAAAACAGAAAATGTCAGACAAGGTAACTTATAAAACTTACTTCAGTATTACAAAAATGAAAAAGGTAAAGGCAAACAGAATCATCTGATTTCAGAAAAGGTACAGAAATGCTAATCATCATTCAGAGGTTTTTTTTTTTCCCCATCAATTATTTAGCAAAGCTCAGAGATAACTGGAATAGAAGCAACTGTTTAGATTTCAAACATAAGAAGTTCCTGGTTTCTATAAAGGTGTTTGGCTTCTTTCAAGTTTTAGCTTTTCAAAACTACAACTCAGAAAAGTAAGTATGAATGGGGGGGATTTGCCAAAGAAAAACACAATATTGAAATTGTTTCACTACTACTTATGCATTTTTAAACCTAGAAAATGTTACAGCATTCAAATTCATTAAGAGGTAACAGTATTTATTTAGATGTTAGTAAATGTTGGATTCTTTTCTAATTCATATCAGAATGATTTTAAGTCTACCAGCAGTAACAGACTTTAACCTATGACATTTGAAAGATCACAGCATTCTGAGAAAATGCAGTAGAATTTAAAACAAACAAACGAACACTGCAGCATATTTTCTAGGATTAAGTAACTTCTTCCGGTGGCCTTAGCAAGTTTGAGCAGACTTTTTAACTAAAGGTAGTAAACTCATTAATTACAATTCGGTGCTAAATATTTTTTTTATTGATGAGCTCTCTCTGAAAGAACTATTATTTAAAAAAATGTATTCCGTCTTTCCATGTCAAATTATTTTATTTTATTATCATATTGTACCTAATATTATTCTTTGAATACTCTGGATATCAGATACCACAACTCTGAGAAAGATCTGTTCCAAGTTACTGGTTTTCTGGACTAGTTGAAGTTACGCTCTGGGGAAAAAGTTCAAGACAACTGTATTCCCTCTCTTGACATGAGTGACGTGAACTAAGAATACATTTCAAGAAACTGAAATACTAAATAAAAACATGTGAAACTAACGCCAAGGAAAAGACCTTTTAGAAAAGGGTCACTATATGTATATAGTGACAAAAACCCTTCTTCTCAAAAACAGGAATAAAATCCAAGAGAGGTGAGGGAGACGATAGTAAAGAAAAAAAGATACTCTATTAACAGAAAAAGCATATTGAAAAAGTAAAATCTTGTTTATAAGGCTGTTCTTAAGTAGCCCACAACCTTTAAAAGACTGAGGTATTGTGAGATGATGTAGAAGAACTAAAAAAAAGACCACAGTATATCTTCCAGGATTAAGAAGATAAATTTCACAGTTTGCACCTTTAAAGGTCTGAGCACCTTGTATTCACTATGAATGTCTAATGGTTTACTTTTTACCTAGTATCTACTATACGGTGAGAGCAAAGCAACTATTATGTATCTGTAAATAGAAAAAATTTAAAAATTAAAAAAAATGTAATGGGAGAGCTGCAGTTCCAACTCATGTAAGATTCTGGTGCTGGCTCCCCCACTCTATTGCCTTGCTCTACTGTTTTAGGCCTTTGGTATTCATAAAAGAACTTTAATTCAGATTGTGCTCCATACTGATCCACAACAGAGCTACAGAGTTATACTGCTGGGAGATTCTTGGCTTCTTCAGTAAATAACTGGACTTTGACATTTAAAAGAAAAACACTACAGTCTGTCATTCTATTAAAATTGTAAGGCATTCTGGTATAGCGATTCAAGCAAACCACTTTCTGGTCCCAAATCTACTAATAATTATTTATGTCTTTTAGACAAGTCACATAAATAAGTGGATGTCAGGTTTTTCTCTGTTTTTAAATATCAAAAGTGAAGGAGCTGAACTAATATCCATCTAATTAAGTATTATAATTGAATTTGAATATTAACAAAACACACACTGTGCACCCTACAACATCTAGATACTGAGGATCCGCACATATGTAAACCGCACACATTTCAATTCAAGGCATAGAGTTGAAATTCATGATTTTATTTTATTCTTATAGTGAAGGTTAAACAAATAGAGAACCAAATATCATGTGATTCTTAGAAGGTTCTAATAATGAATGTGTGATAGCTCTAGACATTAGCTTTACCCAGAAGGATACACTTATACACATGCATATATGCCCATATATGTGCTATGGGAGAGAGTGGAAGAAGGGAGAAAGATGCCACTTAATGTTGGGTCAATATATTAAAGGTATAGTAAAGGTCTGAATCACCTTCAATGAAAGACAAGGAGCTGTATTTCAGTGACTGAGTATACAGAAGAACTGCTTCATTCTAACTGTATACTTTGACTTCATGGACAGGAAAAATACACTTTACTAAGAATATCAGTCATTATAAAACACCAGAGATTTTGGAAGGAGGAAAAAAATCACAAAGCCTATTCATCCCAGTTGAATATACCACCTATTTTAGTCACCCTTTCTTAACCAGAGTTCTGTGAGAGAATTAAGCCTTACATCTGGAATTATGCTAGTTATCTAAAATCCTTGGTCTAAATAGAGAAAATCATTTTCTGTGTTCTTTGGATCAGAACAGGAACTCTGGCTGGGCTCATTATTTTGTCACCGTTTAACAGCTGCTTACCACTGCAGACAGATGAAGTGATGTTGTACAGAAAAGGATAAAACTGCATACAGCGGATCAACTTCAGGCTGTTTTCACACTCTGGGCATTTGGTGGTTAATTTCAAGGCCTGTCTAAAGGCCTCAAGTGCCCCACTGATATTCTTCAGAGCAAGGTAAGCATTTCCCAGGCTCAAATAGGTCAGAGGCTGAAAAGAAAAAAAAAATCAGCAAAATCTTAATGAACTAATATTTTCTGGGAGTTACAAAATGTTTACAGTATATGGCTTTTGACTCTTTTTAGGTTACGCCATAAATGTTACTGCTAACTGTCCATTTTATTCATAGCAGCTAATTCTAAACTGTGTTATACATGCAAATTTACTGTTTACTTTTTTGTTAAGATAAGAAATACATAAAGGATGTAACATAAACTACATATGTATCTATCCCTGTAACCACCACACTGCTCAAGATACAAAAATGTTTTCAGTACTCCAGGAGGTTCCCTTGGGCAATCCAACCACAGAAGTAATCATTGTTGCGATGTGGTGACTTCTGTCGTGGTAGTTCTGGAACATCAGGTAAATGAAATCAAACTGCATATTCTCCAAGAGTACATGAAACATGGATCCTTTTGTACCTTCTTTCGCTCAATCTAAAATTCACTCATGCTGCTGTGTAAGTCAGTAGCTCACTCTTTTTTAAACTGACGTGTAATGTTCCAACTTAAGAATATACCACAGCTTGTTCATCCATTCTTCTACTGACTGGCAGTTGAGCTATTTCCACTTTCTGTCTATTATGAATAAAGTTACTATGAATATTCTTGTAAATGTCTTTTGATAGGCATATTGTTCTCATTTTCTTTGAGTATATACTTAGTATGGGTTGTAAGGTAGATGTACATTTAGTTTTAGTAGATATAACCAAATAGTATTCCAAAATGGATGCACAAATATACACTCCTACCAGCAAGTGTGAGATTTCAGAGTCTTTGTATTGTCAGTCTTTTTAATTTTAGCTTTTTTAGTGAGCTGCAGTGGTGTCTAACTGTGGTTTTAATTTGCATTTCCCTGATGAATAATAATGTTGAGGGTTTTGTTTTTCAGGTGCCTATTGGCCATTTGGATATCCTCATTTCTGAAGTGCCCATTCTTTTCTCTGTCGAAAAGAAGTAGATTGCCCTTAATGCCTTGAAGGAGCTCTTCGTGTATATTATATATTAGTCCTTTGTTGAAAATAAGTATTGCAAAAGTCTTCACTATGGTTTGCTTTTTTGCTCTCTGAATGGTACCTTTTGATAAACAGAATTTCTTAATTTCAGTGAAGTTCAGCTTTTTATTTTTTTTCTTTTATAGTTAGTACTTTTTGACATCTTTGCCTACTGCAAGGTCATAAAGACTTTCTTCTATGTCTTCACAAAGAAGCTTTACTGTTTACCACTCATATTTTGGTACATGATCCACTTCAAGTTAATTCTGTGTATAGTGTGAGGTAGAAGTCAAGGGTCTTATTTTTCTTCATAGGGATATCATCCAATTACTCTAGAACTAACTTACTGAAAAACCAAAATGTTTTTCCCTTGTTGAACCACAGGTATGCCTTTGTATAAATCAGTGGCCATATACATGGTGGTTTACTTCTAAATTCCCCATTATGTTCCATTGATATGTTTGAGTATCTCTGTACCAACACCACACTCATTTAATTATAGTAAATCTTGAAATCTAGTAATATAAGCCTTCCAACTCTGTTCCTCCCCATCCCTTTCCCCCATTTGTGTGTGTGTGCTGGGGAGGGTGGCTATTTTAGGTACCGTTCTATGTAGATTTTAGAATCACTTATCAATACACAAACACATATATGCAATTACTAGGTGTTTGAGATTGAATTGAATCTATAAATCGATTTGCAGAGATCTTACATCTGAACAACACTGACTCTCTTAATGTGAACACAATGTACATCTCCATTTACAGGTTGAGTATCTCTTATTCAAAATACCTGGAACCAGAAATGTTTTGGATTTCAGATTTTAAGATCTTAGAATATATTATTATATTTACTGGATGTGCATCCCAAATCTGAAAATTCAAAATTCAAAATGCTCCAATGAGCATTTCCTTTGAGTATCAGGTTGGTGACCAAAAAGTTTTGGATTTTGGAATATTTGGAATTTTAGATTTTTGAATTTAGGATGCTCAACCTGATATTATTCACGTATAAATCTTACACATCGTTTTTTAGGTTTATTCTTAGATATATGATGTTTTCTTTCTTTCCTTTTTTTATTTTTGAGACAAGGTCTTGTTCTGCTGCCCAGGCTGGTCTGGAACTCCTGGGCTCAAGAGATCCTCCCACCTCAGCCTACCGAGTAGTTAGGACTACAGGTGCACACTACCACTAACTTCTTTTGACTTTTTTGTAGAGATGGGATATCTCTGTGTTGCCCAGGCTGGTACTGAGCTCCTAGGCTCAAGCAATCCTTCCACCCTGGCCTCCTGAAGTGCTAAGATAACAGGAGTGAGCTACCACACCAGATCTGATGTTTTCTTGATGCACCTGTAAATAGTGTACTTTGTATGCTATTTTCCAATTGTTTGCTGAGACTTTGCTTTTATAAGCAGCAAAGTATTCAGTTTAGGCCATTTTAACTGAAATACATCTATTTTTAGTGTTTTTATATTTGCTTGAGTACAAATCATATGTTTAAATTTATCGTTAAAAATAGCTAAATAGATCTGAGAATGCTTTATTTTCAAACTGTACAATAAATCTCTATGAAAAACAATGCTCCTGATTTATCCAATTGCCTGCTTTTGATTCAGGCTGTCAGATCATCAGAAATGCCTCACTGTGACCAAACCAGGGATAAAAAGCATTCTAGATTAAAGAAGTCTAACCCTAAGCAGCTCAGATTACATTTAAACTATTACTTAGTAGTTCATACCCAGATACAAAGTTAAATCCTATACTTAGATTTCAAATGTATCTTTATATTTTGTATAAGGAAACAAGGTGTTATAATTACCCCTATGACAAAATGATGGCTGTAAAAAGACGTCTTGCACTGAGAGAGAAACTGGTTAACATTTTGGAAAAAAAGCTGAACTTTCATTTCTTCATCCAAAAAATAAGTACTGAGTGTTTACTATGTTACAGGCATAGTTTTGAACATTGAGGATACAGCAGAAAATAAGAAAGGTAATTGCTGCCTTCACCTTACAGTCTAGTGTGGGTGTCAGAGAGTAAAATGGGATGGAGAAAAATATAGAGGGAAGAAATAGAGGTCGTACTAGATGTGGGCGGGGGTACACCATTTTAAATAGAGTAGTATGAGAGGGACTTACTGAGAAGTTAGTATTTATAAAACTTTAAGGAGGTGGAGCAAGCAATGAAGAATCTTGGTGGGATGAAGTACTCCAAGCAGAGATGACAGAAAATGCAAAAGCCCTGAGGTGGGAGCTGCTTAGTATGTTCAAGGAACTACAAGGAGGCAAGTGACGCTAGAATAAAATGTGCTAAAGAATGAATTGACAGAGATAAGGTCAGAAAAGTAACAAGGTCATGTAGGACCTACAATACCATTACAAACTCCTGTATTTTCCCGTGAGTTCTACGGAGAGCCACTGCAGGGATTTGGGCCAACAAATAACATTTGACTTTTTATAAGCATTTCACTGCTTGCTGTATGAGAAGAGACTGGGGGACAATGCCAGAGAAACCAGTTTAGAGGCTTCTAAAATAATCCAGACAAAAATAATGGTGGTTTGGATGGGACAGCAGTGGAGACAATGATAAGTAGGAAAATCTAAGGCATATCTTGAAAACAGAATCAACGAGGTTACCTAGTGGATTGAATTTTCCCTGAGAATAGGAGAAATGCATGAAAGAAGCCCCTAAGTTTTTGGTCTGAGCTACTGGTAGCTTAATTATCTCCTGAAATGAGGAAGACTAGGAAGAATAAATTTGGAACGGTGTTAAGGAGCTTGGTTTTGGCCTTAGTTCTAGAGTGCCCTTTAGACATCTAAGTGGAAATGTCAAGTAAACTGCTGAATAAATAAGTCTGGAGTTCAGGGCAAAGGTGACAGCTAATTCAACAGGAAAAGAACAGTCTTCTCAAGACATGAAGCTGAATAACCGGATATCCATGTAAATATAAACTTTGATCCCTATCTCACATTACAAAGAAAATTTAACTTGAAATAAATCATAGACCTAACTGCAAAGCCAAAAACTATAAAATAACCAGGAAACAACATAGGAAAAGATCTTTATATATCTGAGAATCAATGATTTAAAGATTAAGCTACAGAAAACAAAACACAGTTTTGTGAGAAGACTTTAAATCTAACAATGGAAACCTATAAATATTTAGACATTAGGTATAAAATCAATTTAAGTTTATTATAACTGAATTTCATGAAAGCTAAAATGACAACAATTATAACATCCATCCTGATTTCACAGATGTTAAAATATGAAAACAGAAGTTGTATCTTCAAAACCATGAACTACAAAGCAGTGATGTAACTCCATAAGCTGCATGTGGGAGGTTCGGGGCATGAAAATCAATGTACTTACCTACTCTTATCAAAACCAACATTGAACTGTCCTCTGGTTGAATGGTATAAATAGTTCTATAAATTAGAGTTGTAAAACCGTGTAATATTAAGCAGTTTGATGAGTAGGATAAAATACAAACCAGATGTTTCAGACTGACATAAAAAAGTGGCAGTATATTTTTACAGCTATGTTATTCTTATTTAAATTAAGTTTCCAAAAAAACTTAACTGTGTAATTACAAATTTCACTCACTTAAAATTTAAAGAGTACATAAAAATAAAACAAAAGCTTTTGATGCTCTCTCTTGAAATAATGCAAATTCTACTCTGAAAAACAAAACATGACATTTTTTATGCTTTCCTTAGAAAAATATAAATTGTGATCTAAATTTGAGCTACCCTACATAGTATACAGAGCCATGAAAACCCATAAAACCTCACCTCAGAGCTATTGACGGCCAAAGCTTGAAGTAGTAGCTTAGTGGCATCAAGATGAAGGCCATAGTGAATCAAAAGGTTGGCCAAGTTGACAAGAGGAACGTCTTGGTATTGAAGTGGAGCTAGATTCAAAGCCCTCTGAAGACAGGCAATAGCAAAAGTGCTATTTCCTACTGCTCTCCAGTATAGTCCAGCTTCATTGAGTATGAGCCAGACAGGAGCATTCGGCTGAAAAATCCAAAAATACTTTAGTTAGTACAATAAACAGTACTTGTTCTAAATAAGATTTTTAATAAGTGCATTTTAACTTTTAATTATACTTAAGAAACATTTAAGTTTCAGCTGTCCAAAGGAAATAACTCACCTTATTAATAGCATGAAATAAGAAAGACCCAATTTCTTCTTCTGGGACAGTATAGTTATTAATACGGGAAAGCAAAATCTGAAACATCAAAAGGAAGACTGACTCAATTGAAAATAAAAGGGAAGACATTTGAAAAGAATTTCTATAGATGGCAGTCTTTTCTTGAGCTCCTCAGGAACACCTAATTTGAGCAAATATTTATAATCATATAAATACCATCAATTCATTGACATACCAACAGGTGTTGACCTGCTCACATGTATGTACTAGTTTGTTTAACTAAAAAGTTATCACATATCTACCCAGACACAGTAAAGTAACCACCATACCCCATTAAAGTCAGCCTAAGTGTTCAGAACCCAAAAAGAAATTATTCAAAAGACAACAGCATGTAATATGTAATATCTGATGTAATAAAAATCTACTATCTTTCCTTCCTGGAATATACCAGATCCTCAATTATTCTATTTCATGTTCCTGTAGCATTAAATAACTGTGAACAACTCTAAGGCATAGACCATGGTCTGTTTATCTTTGTATTCCTAGCTCCCAAAACAATGTCTGGCACATAATGTTTTTGGCCTAAGGAAATGTCTGTTGAATATAAGTGGTAATAACTGCTTATAATTTTGATATTAACTTTTTTTAAAAAAGGTGATTGTGATGGTCTGAGATCGCTAAAAAGGTTAATTTTTTTTTCATTTCCCTCTATGGAAAATGGTACTAATATGGTAATCTATAGTAATAAAACATTCGTAGTTATATATAACTAAAAGGAATTTTGGAAAAGAGCATAACTAACTGAACTTTCAATATTTGCAAAGTGGTTATCGAATTAATACAAATTCTAAGTAACCTCATATAAGGCCATAGCAGGGTTGATAAGGCTGGAAAAAAAGATTCTTCAAGGTTTCAATTTATATAAACTTCTAGAGGCCTGGAAGATGCAAAGCTAACTTTTAGTGGTCGCAATGGCCTGCATTACGCTGACTCCATTAAAAAACAGAGTTCTGTGCTACTCATCTTCAAAGTGCTCTGAGTTAGTGGAACAGTGCTTAGGTGATCTGGGCATAGCAGCCCTGAGGCACTCTCTCTCGCACTCCTTTAACAGCATGACTGACTTCGCCATCATTTCACCAGTTCTTTAACTCTATCCTTCCATTTTATATACTTAAAGCTCAGCAACTACCTTCTATCATTTTTTTGTTCCATTTAAGAGGCTTCTGAAGTCACCCAGAATGGACGGCAATAAATACCAGCCTAAGTGAGCCTTACTTTTCGTGCATGGTCATCTGGCATTTTGGCTTTCAGATCCATGCGAACCTCTAATTCTTTGACTAAGTAGGACAGAGTGTGGCTTTTTCTGAAGTCAGTTATGGAACAGTCAGGGGTTTGGGCCTCTTCTTCTGTAGAATAATCATCACTGCTGAGTTCGTGGATCCTGGCACAAGAAAAAGGAACAAGATTCATATTTTCAAAGTTTGGGTGACTTCAAGATAAAGACTTAACCTTTCAAGTCCAAGGCTGGTGATCTCAAAGAACTGCCAGATGACAATCATGCAGAACCAGGTGCTTTGCCAAATCCATCAGCACTTGCCTGAGTCCTTTGTTTTCCGGAGGCAAAAAATACGTTGGTAATTCCCCACCAACAGGGACTCTAGGGTAGCTTTCTGCACAATCTGCTCTTTTAGGCCACAGAATATGCTGTTTGTCCTGATAGAGAAACAAAATTTCTCATAAATTTCTTTGGATCCAGTAGCTCAATATGCTAAATAAACCTTTAAAATGATATAAATATACTACAATAATTAAACAAAACTATATCTTAAGACTATGGTAGACTCCCTAATATTCCTGCTACTGCAGATTATGAATCTAAGTCAGTAATTCTGCCTGCTTTAACCACAGGCTGGTTCAGGGTTGGGCAGGGTATAAGCCCGCTGAGCTAGTGAGACACAAGAAGAGGCTTGCTTGGGGTTTCTGGGAAAGAGCAGCAAGTCTTAGGCTCTTATGCTACTTATGCACAAAAAAAATCATGTTGCTCCAGTTGCTGCTGGCTGTCATCTTATGACCATGGGAAAAAACCAAGCATTTGGATGAAACCAATACTGTGGATGGCAGAGTGAAGAAAAAAAAAGAAAGAAAGAAAAAGAAGAAATGGGTCACTGATGACATCACGGGGCCACTGAATCAACCAAATGTGAAGTTTATCCTATCTCTGGACTTCCCGTAATAATAGGCACATTTTCTTGGTGTTTAAGTTAATTTGAGGTGGAGCTTATTACTTGTATCTGAAAGCATACATAAGCTTAAAAAACTGGCATTGAACATATTCTTCCCTGAACTAAGGTCTCTGTCAATGTCAAAGTTTAACAACTGGTTTATGATTTATAAAATGTTCATTTCTTATAAATATAAATAAGATGTACCAGAGGTTTACTAAACTTAAATCTTGAAGCTATCAAACTTTAGGGGACTTATATTACATATAATTAAATCCAAATGGCCATTTAATTCTGTTATACCCTTGATTAAATTCCGAAAATTTAATGGTGAATAAAAAATACATAGTCTCTTTCCCCCTACCTTGGTATTTGCCTCAGCAAACCTACCATTCTTTCTTAGCTGGTCTAGAAATGCACATGTACTAACTTCTTTATTGTCTGTATCTATTCTAGAAGATAGGCTCCAGAAGAGCAAGGGGCTTATCTATGATACTGCTAGTATTAGTCTGGCACACTGGTGGGAGCTCAATAACAGAACGCTGATTACGTAAGTGAAGTATAAAAAACATATACTTGGGTGAAGTTTAAAAACTTGTTAAGGTTGGTAATAATACGCAGAATAAAGCTTTGAATTGAAGTCAGTGTGTCTATCTACTCTACTTGATCGGGAAAAACTCAAACAGAGACTGCGTCTTACTCATTCACTACCTAGCAGAATGGCTTCCATCTAATAGAAATGTAATAAACATTTGCTGAACTAATCTCAACAGTCATTGAGGCCATATTAATCAGTGAGGTTGAGGGCCACTGCTTTAATGGATCTCGCCAGTTTGAGAAAACTCCTTCATCATTGTCTATTAACTTACCCTATATGCATCAGAGTCCCTGCCCCAAATCCAGAGAATAGAATGGGCTACGGGAGAAGACTTGACCGAATCATTGATATCACTCTGATTTGATTGAACATCAAAGTTCACAGACATCATACTGGAGGTTGATGAATCCTCACCAAACTAGAAAATGAAACAAAAAGTTCAATCAAATTGAAAGTGGAAAAGGAGTTGTGACTATAATTTAACTCACACCAAAAAAAGCGAGTAAATACTCAAAATTAGTAGAAAATCAGAAAGTAGCTCAGTAATAAAGCAACTGGATCTTTTAATTTTAAGAGCTATGCCCCAACTATATTTTTTCATGGATAATGCATAGTTAGTAACTTTCAATAACTTTGCCATTGGAGTTTGAGAAAAATGGCATAGGTCGTTTTCTTGTCCCTTTGCTTCATTTTTATGATTTAGTCTCTTTAGGTTAATAATTAGCTAATTTGGAAATCTGGTTCATTATTCCCCTTTTCTTCCTACACTAAAATGCTCACCACACTAAAATTAGTGTGCTGTGTGTGGGGAGAAGTGAGGGAATTTAATAAAGTGTTCTTAAGGGTTCTGCAACTATCACTTAAGGATTACAGACTATTGTGCAATCAATTACAAAGAAAAGTTTTAGGGGCAAAAGGGTAACCTAGAAGATGAGAGAATACAAACATATATAGTTTTTCTTCAAAGCAAGGTGGAACAATGTTAGATATACTTACAAGGTGCTTGAGTGTTTCTGAAACCTTGCTAGATCATGAGAATGGGACTGGGGATGGGATGGGGTAGGAAAGACATAAGAAAAAGGAATGAATATGATGAATTCGTAGCTCTAGGTCTTTATGACTAGGAATGGAGTCTTTATATAGTGGCGATACAATTTTATGAATATAGACTATTGGAAGCTACACTCTTTCAAATGGTCTGTCCTGAAACCAACAAAAAGTCCAAAAGGAACATTGGGTTTCAATCTATTTCATTTCTAAACATCCCCATTTTTCCCTTTAAAGTGCTTGGTTTTAAGACAGGGAGCTACAATCCCAGAGGGTGTGAATCTGGTCTTCCTTTATTCTTTCCCTTGAAAACCAAACATGGGATATTGCTGGGAGCTGGTTTACAATACTCATAGGAAACTTTTGGTCCCTATCACTATTTCCGCTTTTAAATGGCTTCTTAATTTTTGTCTCTTATTTTCCCAATGCAGTCTAGATTTTTTCCAGGAGTTCTAAGTTTTTGTGGTTTGTCCTCCTATGGCTGCTCTCCTTAGTTATGTGAATTAGTTACTGCTGGAAATTTCTACATCTACAATTAGGGACATGATGAGTTTTCTCTAAGATAGGATAAATATTCTTTTATTCAACACAGGTTGAGTATCAGTTATCTGAAATGGTTGACCAAGAGTGTTTCAGATTTCAGATTTTTTTTGATTTTGGAATATTTTATTACACTTACCTGTTAAGCATCCCAATAAAAAAATGTGAAATCCGATTTCTTTTGAGCATCATGTCAGTGCTCAAAAAGTTTCAGTCTTTGTATCCCTTTTTTTTTTCTGATACTCAGAATTCTGGTTGTACTTGCTGTCTGTATCATTTATTCAATAACAATGATATACTATGTGGTATCATTATATTTGTTATTTCTTCCCAACTATATAGATTAGGATTGTATATGTGTATATGTGTGTGTACATATATGTGTATAGAGACAGAAAGTGAGAGAAAACACACATCTAGCAGTGTGTTTAATAAAGATTTTCTGTTGATAACAAGTATTTTGTTGTTGGTGTTGGTTGCAGCAACACAATTGGACTAATTACTTCAGGAAACAAACAGCATGGTCGCTCTCAAATTTTAAATAGGTCTTACACTCTAACAGGTAAAGTGGGGAGATGAAAGCTTTGAGTTCAACAATAATAAGAGTCCAATTCTAGCTCTCATAGTAAAGGAGAAAAGAATCAAATGCATGTGCATATAAATATGTAGATGGTACTTTGAGAAACAGAAAGCATTCATGGAGTTACTGAGTACTCCCTATAAAATCTGACTTCATAACGTAACAGATACTCAAAATCTCTGTTTTTTTTTTTTTTTTTTTTTTTTTTGAGATACAGTCTTGCTCTGTTGCCCTGACTGGGGTGCAAATGGCATGATCTGGGCTCACTGTAGCCTTGACCTCCAGAGCTCAGGTGATTCTCCCACCTCAGCCTCCTGAGTAGCTGGGATTACAGGTGCATGCCACCATGCCTGCCAATTTACGTATGTTTTTGTAGAGATGGGTTTACACCAAGTTACCCAGGTTGGTCTTGAAATCCTGGGCTCAAGCAATCCTTCTGGCTCTGCCTCCCTAAGTGCTGGGATTACAGGCATGAGCCACTGTGCCCAACCTCAAAATCTTAAAGATCTAAATGACAATCACAAATTTTAGAGGTCAAATACATAAGGAATTAAGGGGAAACACAAAAGTTTTAAAAAAATTTTATAAAGCAAAAGTTTGTAAGAACTAGATTGGACCAAGAAAATGACCTGAACATAGTCCACATTTTCAAAGATATCTCCACGATGATAGCGTACAGGCTGGTCCCACTGGCAATGTAAACTATGCTGCTGGTTGACCAGTCGGCATATCTGATGATTTCCTGGAACAGGAAAGGAAATTACACAAATGATGAGCAAGGTCAACAATAAATGTGATTTTCTTAGACTAAGTCATTTAGTATCAACTCTGTATCCCTCAGAGCTTAGCAGACCACTTATAAAGGATGTACTTATATAGAGAAATACTCATTAATGGTTAATCAAACTAAACCATTCTAAGAAGTCCCAGTTTTTCCACCTATTAAAAAAAGGAATACGCTAGATTACTGAGATATCTTTCAGCAATTATACTCTATGATTATAAAATCTATTGATTATATAGTTTTAAGCGACTTTGGCCATCTTTCTGGAGAGAATTTGCTTTATATACTTCATAATTTTGTTTCTCTGGTGGCATTTCAGCAGAATGGGCAGTAAATAATCCCGAGGATTGAGCATACTCTTTACACTAAAAATAGCAAAGAAAACTTGTTAAGGGAATTGCAAAATGAACTACAAATGGTCACAGCTAAGAGTCAACGGTTTACAGGCTTTCTTGACCAATTTATTTATCAAGGGAGAAAGATATAATTAAGAGATTCTATTTTTTCTGCTGTTGTCAGATCTGCTTCCTTGTAATCAGAAACAAAACATTCTAGATATAACCAAAGCATTACTCTCATGCTAACCAAAGTTCCTATAAACCAGTGGTTCTATTTTTTGGATCACAGATGCTTAAGAGATTTTAATAAAAGCTATATACTCTTTCCAGAAAAATAAAATTGGACACATACACAATTCTACATATAATTTTGGAAAGGATGTCAAAACCCTCTGAAACTAATCCATTGGACCCAAGTCAAGAATTCCAGTCTAGCCGGGTATGGTGGCTCACCCCTGTAATCCCAGCACTTTGGGAGGCCGAGGCGGGCGGATCACAAGGTCAAGAGATCAAGACCATACTGGCCAACATGATGAAACCCCATCTCTACCAAAAATACAAAAAAATTAGCTGGGTGTGGTGGTGCGCACCTGCAGTCCCAGCTACTCGGGAGGCTGAGGCAGGAGAATTGCTGCAACCCGGGAGGAGGAGGTTGCAGTGAGCCGAGATTGCGCCACTGCACTCCAGCCTGGCGCCTGCCGATGGAGCAACACTCTGTCTCAAAAAAAAAAAAAAAAGAAAAGAAAAATAATTCCAGTCTAAAATTTTACTTCTAAAATACTGTTTTTAAGACAGCAAGAAAAAAAGGAGTACGGGTAGGTTGTTTCTAGGGTGGGTCTGGCTCTTATTCACTTAGCGTAAGGCCTTGTTACCCCACAGTACAGTTTTTAGACCTGCAGCAACAGGCATCACCTGGGAGCTTATTAGGAAGGCAGACTCTCAGGTCTCACTTCAGACCTACTGAATCATAATCCGCATTTCAACAAGATCTCCAGGAGACTGATATACATATTAAAGTTGGAAAAAAAAAACTGATGTTGAACACAAAAGGCGAATAACTGTTAAGACTTCTAGGACTGACTAGACTTGTTTTTTATTTCACAATGTAAATCCAAAAAATACAAGGGGGACCAAACCAGCTCCCCAGGCCTCTTGGTATACCAACAGTGATGAATCATGATTTCAAGATGTAGGGAAGTTATAAACATTACTTCATACTTCTTTAAGGCTATAAAAAAGTTATGATAGTAAAGCATGCTAAAAGTGAATTTCCTAACTTGTCTTCAATTACTTGGAGTCACTACTTACCTAATTGTGCCTCTTTTGCCATCTGAGTCTCATGAATGATATTTCTTAAGATTTGCTCCTCCTGAATCAATTTATGTTTTTCTAGGATTTCCTGCTGTCTCAGGTAGTGGTCATGCTGCTTTTGATATTCCTTTAACTCATTCAGTGTTCGCTGGAGAGATCTTAACATGTTTTAATACCAGGAAAAAGAGGTATAAAGTCATCAAATTTTAAACCCACTTAAACACATATATTTTTTTCTGGTTCTCAGCAACAATCACTGTGTTTTTTCCTTTTATTTAACATACAATACAACCCTGTACCACCAGTTCAAGAATAACAGGGCAAAAGATAAATGTAAAATTCTTCCCAAACTTTTTTTTTTTAAAGAAATGGGGTCTCACTCTGCTGTCAGGGCTGGATCCAGAGGCCTACTGTAGCTCACCGCAGCCTTGTACTCCTGGGCTCAACTCCAGGAAACAACTTCTGGGCACAAAGAGTCCTCTTGCCTCAGCCTCCTGAATAGTAGCTGGAACTACAGGCACATACCACCATGCCTGGCTAATTTATTTTTAGAATCTGGGTCTTGCTATGTTACTCAGGCTAGATTTGAACTCCTGGCCTCAAGTGATTCCTCCTCTCCACCCTGCCTCAGTCTCCAGAATAACTGGTATTACAGGCATCAGCCATGACACCTGGGAATACCCTACTTTCCTGACATCAAATGGTATGTTGCATTTTTCAGGTGCCATAAAAAATACATGACAATATACAAGTTTACATATTTAACAACTCTGTTTCTCTCTACAAAATTTGCGTTAGTACCACCAACATTCAAAGTCTTTCTAGAATCCTTTCCTCCTTGTCACTTTTTCCCCTTGAATCAGCTTAAAAACGAAGTTAAGAGTTAGGGGCCAAGGTACTTTGCTTTCATACTCTAGCTTACTGGTTACGGGCCAGGAAAACCACAGAAATTATGCTTAGAAAGGAATACGGTTCACCACCTGATTTCAGTAAATCAGCTGCCTGATTATATTTAATCACAAAACCCTTACTGCCTATTACACACTGTAACACATAGAGATTTTAAGAGCTATACAGACTGTGTAAGATAGAGCCAGTTCAATTATTAAGAGCATGATACTGGAAAAAGCTCAGCCAGGTATAACAGAAACCAGTTATAAATAAGCAAGCTGTCATCCTTTTTGCTTCCTACCACATTATGCTTTAAACAGACTGGAAAATAATCAAATACAAAATTTAATGAGTTCTAAATCTCTGTTTAATTCCTTAATAACCAAAGTAAACTCAAATATTACAGCTAATTCTGAGATATAAAGAATTCACTTCTGAGTTAACATGAAGTTTCTTAACTAGCCCTACTGATGAAAGGAAATGGTTTTTTAATTTATTATACCTCAAGGATCAAATACAATAGAATTCCATTACTGTACAACCTAACACATAATTATGATTAAAATTTGGGTCAAATAATGTCTCTCGATGTCATTTAACTACCTTAACAATAGGCCAACCCTAGGAATCACCACCTTTCTCCAAGAAGAGAAAGATCAACTATTGTACATTTAAGTGATTTTACTGAAACTTAGTATATTCCATGGAAAGAAAAATGTAGTCAACAAAGTTGTAAGTATTCCAGTCTCTCCATCCCCATCTGTCTTCATAAAAGTAATCAATGATCAAAACTGTAAAGATTTAAATGACAGCTTTTACTACAAATATTCTCTAGTTGCAGGAATCCATACAATTAAAGATATTCCTCAGGCTGGGCGTGATGGCTCAGGCCTGTAATCCCAGCACTTTGGAAGGCTGAGGCGGGCAGATCGCCTGAGTTCAGGAGTTCAAGACCAGCCTGATCAACATGGAGAAACCCCAACTCTACTAAAGATACAAAATTAGCCAGGTGTGGTAGTGCATGCCTGTAATCCCAGCTACTTGCTACTTGGGAGGCTGAAGCAGGAGAATTGCTTGAACCTGAGAGGCAGAGGTTATGTGAGCTGAATTCGTGCCATTGCACTCCAGCCTGGGCAACAAGAGCGAAACTCTGTCTCAAACAAACAGACCAAAAAAGATATTCCTCTACACAACGATCAGGACTTGGAGGAAATGGATAGGACTTGCAGTAGTGAAGAGATTTTTTTCTTAATTCCAATTACAAATGAACACTGATATCCCCTACACAGATTTAACCTAAGGTTCTACAGAGTGGCTGAGTGAAATTTTTCCTCTCAATTACCTATGTTGAGCCTCCAATTTCTGCTCCAGTTTTTGCTGACATAGAACAGCATGCTTCCTCTTTATAGCTTGCTCAAACCCAGGTTTGGCCTGCAAAGCGTGGTCATAACAGAGCACTGAGTGGTTATATTCCCCAAGCATCTGAAGAGACAAAAACAAGCACACATATATACACATATACACAAGGGGAAGAAATGTTAGCCATGGCCTGGTTGCATCTGTTCAAATCCTTTCATGATTTATGAGATCACACCAGTATCTTACTCTCCAATGACCGTTATTTTGTTCAGTGACCACATCCCTACAATATCAAGACAAACTATAGGATGGTTTTATTGGAAGATATTACTAACCTTAAAAGGTGTATTCTATAAAAGTTTAAAATTCCAATTAATTATTTTTTTTGGGCAAGAGGCTAGAACAATTATTATTGTGCTGAGAATTTTTCTTCCTCCTAATTTCATTTCCATTGTTCACACCAAAAGAAGAACAGAAAAAAGTAACATTCTACTGAGAGGGGAGAGAGAAAAAAAGAAAGTGGCAACTAGCGTGACTCATGAAACAAAAAGTAGTACTTACTGCATATATATTCCCCAAAGTATAATAGCTGGTGAAGAAGTCACTGTCATCCAGAGCTGCATGGACCACAACAGCAGCATCAGCAGAGAAGTGTGCTCTGTGTAGAACATTTGCCAGATTGACCAGGGCAATGTCTTTATTGTGCCTAACGAAAGCAGCACATATTCCATGATTATGAAGAACTACTTGACAAGGAAAAATGACATTCAAAGTGACTTGAGCTTAGAAAAATAAGATATAGGTGGCAAAAATAGATAATCATAGTGTTTCATTTTTACATTATTGATGGTTCTTAACCTGATAGCTACAAATTTTGTCACAAAAAAAAGGTCAGGCAGATACTGTATAGATACTGTATGATTTTACAATTTAGGACTTAAATTTGCTTTAAGAAAAGTTAAATTTAGTTTATGATAATTCAAGTCTCACGTGAATCACAGGGCACCCACATAACACATCTTTTCCTTAATGGAAATGGAAAATATATTACACAATTATCACTTTGAACTTTTTGACATCTGTGATTTTTCTTTTTTTTTTTTTTTTGTGGTGGGACTAATTTCTTTGAATAGGGATGGAGAAAAGTATAAAATGCAATGCCGCTTCTGATTGTTTTCCTTTTTTTTTTTCTTTTTTGAGATGGAGTTTTGCTCTTGTTACCCAGGCTGGAGTGTAATGGCGCAATCTCGGCTCACCGCAACCTCTGCCTCCTGGGTTCAGGCAATTCTCCTGCCTCAGCCTCCTGAGTAGCTGGGATTACAGGCATGTGCCACCATGCCCAGCTAATTTTTTGTATTTTTAGTAGAGACGTGGTTTCACCACGTTGACCAGGATGGTCTCGATCTCTTGACCTCGTGATCCGCCCGCCTCGGCCTCCCAAAGTGCTGGGATTACAGGCGTGAGCCACCGCGCCCGGGGATTGTTTTCTTATGTATTGTTTCTTTAACAGTCCTGAGGAATGTGGAAAACCAGGAAAATCAGGTCCAGAAGAGGAGGAATCTTACCTGGAAGAGAAGTGAAGTGCTCGCATGGCACACTCCACTACCTGATATGGCTCATTCTTAATTCTCCAGTAAAACGACGCCATGTTATACAGTACCCATGAGGAAGAGTTCTAGAGATTAAAAAAGTAAAATTACAAACACGATTCAAGACAGTTTAATTTAGAATGCTCAAAAAGAGTACCTTTAATATTCTGGCTCTTCCAAAATTCAAGATGAAGAAGAGCAAGACTAATGATAACAATGATAAAGAAGAGGACACAGTGCAAAGAAACTGAGAGCATTCTAATCATCAGCTGAGAATGCGCATTAGGTGATCTTCATATAAAGACCATCCAACTCCAGCTTATTCCAAGAGGGAAATAAATTGAAAATCCCATCAACTGACCACAACTTGTTGGGTGGGCTCTATTCAGAAGTTAAGTCAGAAGACCTAATCTACTTAGAAATAGCTCCAATATGAAATTCCTGAAATTAACATTTAAAATATTTTTCTATTTATGTAATATCTGAGTGAAGTCACAAACTTAAACAACAGGCTTACTCTAAATATAAAGACAGAAAAAAAGGAAAAAGGGCCAAAAACATGAACAGACAACTCAAATAATGAAACAGCTAAAAAGTATGTAAAATATGTAACTTCACAAAGAAATAGAAATTTAAAAGATACAAGTTTTCCTTTTACAAAGTGGCAAAGACTAAAAAGAATGCCAATATTTACTGGATATTAACTTTAGATTTTAAACCATAGAAATGTTAAGCTACTACAGCAGTTCAGAGTTCAGGGCGACAATTTGACATGTATGTAAAAAGCTTGAAAAATGTAATGTATATTAACATACATATTAATGTATATTTTACCCTTTGACTCCCACAATTCTACTATTAAAAATGTATACTATGGGGAATAATTAAGTTTTAACTATAAACATATATAAAAATAAAACTCCAGAAGAATGTATTACAAACCAGTTTTGAAACTATTATTTTTACTTTCTTTTTTTTTTCCACTTATATTTTTTATTACCCACATTTATCTTAAGGCTTAAAAGATTCAGGAAGGGAGGTCAGCATTATTTTTAAATAATCAGAGGTACCATATCATATTAATCTCAAGTCAATATCTTTGGCTGGATAATGCCTGGACTGTGCTGGAGTGTGGCTCCTTCTGAACTTACATGAAATGTCTAAAAGACAAATTCCATCTAAGATTTCCTTGCCCACTCATTTTCTTCTTCATTCTCTATCCCTGGTTTGTCTCCGCATCTGGGTTTCCACTGAAGCAGAAATGACTGAGGAGACCTTTTGAGTGTATATACGCAGGTGCATGTTGGCTTTAGAGAGGTCAAAGTTGGATAAAGGTGTCTCCTATGTGGCTCTCACAAGTGAGAAACAAAACAAGGTTGAAGACTGCTTTTGGTGGCTCATGCCTATAGTCCCAGCACTTTGGGAGGCTGAGGTGGGTGGATCGCTTCAGCACAGGAGTTTGAGACCAGCCTGGACAACATGGCAAAACCCCCATCTCTACAAAAAAATACAAAAATTAGCTGAGTGTGGTGGTGTACGCCTGTAGTCATGAGGCTGAGGTGGGAGGACCAATTGAACCTGGGAGGTTGAGCCTCCGGTTAGTTGTGATCATGCCACTGCACTGCAGCCTGGACTACAGAGCAAGGCCATGTCTTAAAAAACAAACAAACAGAAAAGACTGCTTTGGAAAGTAAGGGAACCAGTGAGTACCACCTTATGTCCAGAGGGAGTGTTGCTTCCTGTGTGCCAGGAGGGTGAGCCTCCCAGAGTCAATACAGGGGCTCTGGCTTTCATCATAAGCTTAGAAGGTTAGAGAAATGTGTTCATCCCAATCATTATTACCAATGCTGAGACCAGTGCAGGTAGCCTAATTTTAAATATGGATGAAAATCCCAGTTGTTTTCTTGTGTAGTTTGGTAGAGCTAAGATACTGGTTAACTACACTTAACCTAATGAATGTTTCTTAAATTGTATAGCAAGTCTTTAGAGATAAAATCAAATATATTTTTTGAATGCACAGTAAGCTTGCTTTTTCAGAGTCCATTTAAAAATATAGCCAATTTCTTATTTTTTGAAAAATAATCTTTCTTTTTCTATTTTTATTTTTTTTTTTCAGTTTTTTGTAAATTTTTTTTATTATTTTATCTTTTTTTTTAAAATTGCATTTTAGGTTTTGGGGTACATGTGCAGAACGTGCCTTCCTCCCCTTCACCCACAATTGGCATTTCTCCCCAGGCTATTCCTCCCCAGCTCCCCCCGCCGCTGTCCCTCCCCTATTCCCAATAGACCCCTGTGTGTAGTACCCGCTTCCCTGTGTCCATGTGTTCTCATTTTTCCTCACCCGCCTATGAGTGAGAATATGCAGTATTTCATTTGCTGTTCTTGTGTCAGTTTGCTGAGAATGTTCTCCAGATTCATACATGTCCCTACAAAGGACACGAACTCATCATTTTTGATGGCTGCATAATATTCCATGGTGTATATGTGCCACATTTTTCCAGTCCAGTCTATCATCGATGGGCATTTGGGTTGGTTCCAGGTCTTTGCTATTGTAAACAGTGCTGCAATGAACATTTGTGTGCATGTGTCCTTATAGTAGAACGATTTATAGTCCTTTGGATATATACCCAGTAATGGGATTGCTGGGTCAAATGGAATTTCTATTTCTAAGGCCTTGAGGAATTGCCACACTGTCTTCCACAATGGTTGAACTAATTTACACTCCCACCAACAGTGCAGAAGTGTTCCTATTTCTCCACATCCTCTCCAGCATCTGTTGTCTCCAGATTTTTTAATGATTGCCATTCTAACTGGTGTGAGATGGTATCTCAATGTGGTTTTGATTTGCATTTCTCTAATGACCAGTGATGAGCATTTTTTCATATGTTTGTTGGCCTCATGTATGTCTTCTTTTGTAAAGTGTCTGTTCATATCCTTTGCCCATTTTTGAATGGGCTTGTTTTTTTCCTGGAAATCTGTTTGAGTTCTTTGTAAATTCTGGATATCAGTCCTTTGTCAGATGGGTAAACTGCAAAAATTTTTTCCCATTCTGTTGGTTGCCGATTCACTCTAGTGACTGTTTCTTTTGCCGTGCAGAAGCTGTGGAGTTTGATTAGGTCCCATTTGTCTATTTTGGCTTTTGTTGCCAATGCTTTTGGTGTTTTGGTCATGAAGTCCTTGCTTACTCCTATGTCCTGAATGGTTTTGCCTAGATTTCCTTCTAGGGTTTTTATGGTGCCAGGTCTTATGTTTAAGTCTTTAATCCATGTGGAGTTAATTTTAGTGTAAGGTGTCAGGAAGGGGTCCAGTTTCTGCTTTCTGCACATGGCTAGCCAGTTTTCCCAACACCATTTATTAAAAAGGGAATCCTTTCCCCATTGCTTGTTTTTGTCAGGTTTATCAAAGATTGTATGGTTGTAGATATGTTGTGTTGCCTCCGATTTTCTTTAATAGATTTGTATAGTCTGAATCTTTTATAAGGACCAATTTTTAAAAAATAGTTATTTTAATATAGTTAAAAATAGTTTAAATTTAGTGAAACGTAATTTTTAAGATTACAATAAGTACAATCTGAACTATTAATCCTTAAGTGTTCTATGTTCAAGAAAAGTATCTGATTTTTGAGTGATGCAACTAAAGGTTTTAACACTATGAGCAGATTAACTATGAAATTCTACTTGAAGTTGGTTAAAGGACAGTACACACTTCACAACTGACTTGTGACGAAGGTTTCAGTTTTCTTTTTGATAGCCTTTTGAGAAAATTATTTTTCAAATTAACAAATTCTATGATTTTGATTTGCATCTTTTATTTTCATGTTATAGTGTAAACTGGGACAGAAAGTTCAATTAAAAGGTCTACATGAACTACTGAAAAGATCATGATAAATTAAATATATATTGCAGCATACTAGAGGTAAGATAAAAATATATATTTAAAGAAATACCCTTCTGTAGTTCTCATAAAATCTCTCCCAAATCTATAAATGTTCTAATGTTATGTGAATTACTCCCTCCTTCCTTCAAACACTTTCTTCCATTGGCTTTAGGACACCACATTCTGTAGGATGCCCTTTCTGATCTTTTTTTGCTGGCTTTCCTCCTCTGCTTGATAACTACATGTGGGAGACCGCCAGGACTTGGACTGGCTTCGTCTCAAACTTCACTCTTTCTCAGATGACTTCATCCAGTTCCATGGCTTCAGATATTCGTAATGTAATAATTATTCTCTATGTGCCCAACTCCAACTTTTGCTGAAATTCCAAACTCATATAGCTATTTCAAATTTAACATGGCCCCAAAAGAACTCTTATTTTCTCTTCTCCAACCCTAACCCTCCCCACCTTCACATTGTTCAAATAAAAAATTTAAGAGTTTTCCTTGATTCCTCTTTTGCCTGCAATCCCCACATCTAACTCATCAGCTTCTAAACTCCTAAATATCTTCTCAATAGTTCAAGTCCTCTCATTTCCACTACTAACAACTGCTAGTCCAAACCACCTTAATCTCTCTTGAACTACTGCAACAGCCTTCTAACAGGGCTATTTCCAGTTGTGGCCCTTTCAATAACTTTTTCATATAGTAGTCAGAGTGATCTTTTAAAGTATTACTTGCAATACATTGCTCCTCTGCTCCAACTTCTCAGCACACCTGGAATAAAATCCAAAGTCTTTACCCTGGCTTTCAGACCCCTACATAATCTGGCACTGGCCTAATTCTCTGGCTTCACTCCCTATCATCCTTCCTCTTGCTGACCAGGCTCCAGAAATAATGGCCTGAATTTGACTGCAAGCCATCTGTTATGGACCAAATGTCTATCTATGCCTCCTCAAAGTTCATATGTTCAAGTGTTATCAAGCCTATGAGGAATGAATAAAGGCTAAATGAGGTCATAAGGATTGGGGCTCAAATTTGATAGGGATGGTGTCCTTATAAGCAATAGAAGAGACAGATCTCTCTCTCTGTCTTCAAGCATGTACACAGAGGAGGCCATGTCAGGATACAGAGAAGGTGGCCATATGCAAGGCAGGAAGAGAGCCCTCACCAGGAACCAAATCACTGGCACCTTGATCTTAGATTTCCCAGCCTCCAGGCTATGAGAAATACATTTCTATTAAGCTACCCAGTATGTGGTATGAACAAATATATTTGGTCTTGGTCCCCAGTTTCTGACACACAAATCTAAAATGTGAAGAATCACACAAGTGATGTGTGGTTTTCATATGCCAATGGGATGACTGGAAGCAGGTGGCCCCCAGATAGCTTCAGGACAGATGCTGGTCCCAGAAAAACTAAGGCATGATTAGAGGGATAGATCATTCAGAATCCCATCCTATCCATGTCCTTTAGGGAGGGGAGAGAGGGTAGAGACTGAGTTAATCACTCATGGCCAATACTTTAGTCAATCATGTTTACGTAGTGAAACCTCCAATAGAAACCCTTAAACAACAGTTTTGAGAGCTTCTGGGTTGGTGAACACATTGAGATTCCAGTAGGGTGGTGTTCTGAAGAGGACATGGAAGCTCTGTGTACCCCTCCTTGCTATTCCCTGGCTTATGCCTTGGGCTGTTCCTGAATTGCATCCTTTATAATAAACCAATAATAGTAAGTAAAGTGCTTTCCTGACTTCTGTGGGCTGTTTTAACTTCGGGAGGTGACTGTGGGAATACTCTGACTTTATAGCTGATTTGCTGGGTGGCCTTGATGTCTGACTGGCATCTAAGTGCAGGTAGCCTTGTGGGACTGAGTCCTTGACCTGTGGGGTCTGTGCTAACTCCAGGTAATTAGTGTCAGATTGTATTGAGTTGCAGGACGCCTAGTTGGTGTCGGGAGAACTGGAGAATTAGCAGTGTGAGAAAAAACTCTATACATTTAGTGTCAGGAGTGTTCTGAGCAGAAACTGTCCAAAGTGGTACTTTGTCATGGAAACCTGAGCAGATGAATACAATCACCTAACCTCATTCAGGACTCAGAGCCTTTGCTGTTGCCTAGAATGTTCTTCCATGATCTTTGAATTCTGGTTTCTTCTTATGATTCAAGTGTCAGCTTAAATTTCACCTTTCCAGAGAGAATAACACCGACTGCTAGATCTAAAGTAGCCACCCAATTACTTTCTATTTTAACTGTCTATAGAACACTTACCACTATGGTCTACTCTCAACTAACCATTCTCTGAAGGATACTGTAAAATCCTGGGCCAGTTTTCTCTTATTACTCATCAAGTTCTGGGAATGCAAAAGTTTTACATTACCTTCAGAAAAATAAGATGAAGATGGTAACATAGCTACAACAATATTCATATAAAGCACTTGAAAGTCAAGTTATTTCTTACTTTTATCTAAAAATTCCTCTCAACATACAGAGCAATGTATTTGAATAAACTGTATACAAAGGTGGCAATTATACATCTTATTTTATACAACTATAATTAATACTGCTTAGAAACTAACCTGTATTTTATGATACTCCTTAGGTGCAAAGAAGAGCAAAAACATTTTCTAAATGCCCACGTTAATCCTGAATGACACATTTAAATTCTTGGGTCCTGTTACATAATTCCCTACTTCCTTTTTTTAAAGTAGATGTTCCCTTAAAAGAAAGTTACAGAAGATTTTGTTGCTGGTGGTGATTCTTTTTCTGTTTCAGAAAACAGTAATAATATATGTATTGTGTATAGACATATTAAAGACACTAAAACATTAACTTTCTTACATACACAATGTATATAATCTAGCCTATAGACCCTGTTGCTTCTATCAGTTTATATTTCATTTTTCATGAATAAGTTTAGATAAAACTTTTCAGCATCTCTTCCTGGTAAAGGAGACTAGTCTACCCACATTTCTCTCCAGCACTGGAACTATGCAATTTGTATCAATGTAAGTGTAATTTTAAATCGTCTGCTAGACAAAAACAAGTTATGAAGGTATTTTCCAAGAGAAAAATACCTTCTGTTTACACAGAGCCTGCTGGCTCTTTAAGTGACTGATGACTTACCTTCCGTAGGCCTTCATGAATGAGGTGACCTATGTCATCTATACTCCTTCCTAATCGTTTAGATAAATATGTGAAGATTGGGTCTTCTTTAGGTAACAGAGGTGCAGAAAGGTTAACTCTCTCTTGTACACCCTGAAGAGAAGAAAAAGATTCAAAGGACATAATCAAAAGCTATAAAAGATGACAAATAATTCAGTATCTTGTCGTATTTATTTTGAAATACTAATATTTTGGAATTTCAAGAAATAGGAGATGTTTGTAAAATTATAAAGCTGTTTGGAAGGAGAGAAGAAAGAGAAATAGTCTTTATAAGTGAGAGACCAACTGAAAGAAGAATATGTAAAAAAAAAAAACCCTAAAGTTCTCTACTTACTCTCAAGTGCTGAAAAGCATGTATACTATATGGAAGTTCTAGAATTTTAGTACAATCAGGTTGCTCAGGGTCTGGAGGGACAGGAGATTCTGTGTCTATATAATCTTCAGGACTAAAATCAAGAAGCAAGAAGCAATGAATGAATAAAAGGCGAGATAAACAATACTTTATTTACTTATTTAAAGGGTCTCATTCTGTTGCCCAGGCTGGAGCGCAATGGCACGATCAAAGCTCATTGTAGACTTGGACCTCCTAATCTCAAACTACCCTCTGACCTCAGCTTTCCAAGTAGCTGAGGCAACAGGCATGCACCACTGTACCCAGCTAATTTTTTTTTTTTTTTGCAGACACAGGTCTCATTATGTTGCTCAGGCTGGTTCTGAACTCCTGGCTTCAAGTGATCCTCCCATCTCGGCCTCCCAAAGTGTTGGGATTACAGGCATATGTCACTGCACTCAGTCAATAATATTTTAAGAAATGTCTAATTTTCCCCATATTCTCAAAGCATCTTAACTTTACAGTTAATTATTAGTCAATATTCATACCATTTCACATAGCTGCTATAAAGAGCCAAACATTATGGGAGTTCAAATTAAAGTCAAGAATTACAGAGAAAATAGTAGATAGGTCACATAATGTTAAGATCATGAACTTTTTAATAACTAATATAACTGCTCAATTGTTTCTAGAAATGTTAAACCAGTTTACACTTCCATTGACAGTCTCTACATTTTTACCAGTTACTAAATTTTTTATATGCTTTCCGTTTTGGTAGATGAAAATTATCTAAATGTTTTAATTTGTACTTATTTGATCATTTCTGAGAAATATGTTTTCCATGTTTACTGGCCATAGGTAGTCTTGTTAATTTTATTTTATTTTATTTTTTTACTATAAATTGTTCAATTCTCTCTCTCTCTCTGTCTCTCTCTTTTTTAAGAGACAGGGTAAGGGTCTCACTGTATCACCCAGCCTGGAGACTGGGCTAGAGCTGAGTGGGACGATCAAAGCTCTCTGTAACCTTGAATTCTTAGGCTCAAGTGATCCTTTCACTTTAACCTTCTGAGTAACTAGAACTATAAGTGCACATTACCATGCCTGACTAATTAAAAAAAAATTTTTTTTTTTAGAGATGGGGTCTCACTATATTGCCTAGCCTGTCTCAAACTCCTGGCTATGGGCAATCCTCCCACTTTGGCCTCACAAAGTACTGGGATTACAGGTGTGAGGCACCATGCCCAGCCAAATTCTTCCATTTTCTACTGTGATGTGAAATATTTTATATTAATTTATAAGAATTCTACATGTATGTATTTTGAACTTTCAAATTCTAAAACTCATCTGTGACTGAAGCTTACTCTTATTACAGAAATAATTTTTTACTGATTTGAGAAAAGAATGTTTGAAAAAGCAATTTTATTTTTGGAAAGAGAACTTCTTTACCTGATGTCTTTGCTCTCCAAAGTTATGTATGTGCCATCATACAGATCCAGGTCCCCTAAGGGCACCTTGGCTTTGATGCAGTCTGGGTCTTCCTTATTATGTCTCTGTTCCAGTCCTGTGTCTCTGTCCTCATTCTCTTCTATGTGAATTTTTTGAGCAACTAATTGTTTCTGTTGAGAAGAAAGTAAGAACAGAATGGATTCTTCTAAAATTTTAGTCTAGCTATCAAAGAGAAAGGGGAATTTGAAGAAGTCAGAATCCTCTACATAGGAAGACAAGAATTCTGAAGATGCCCTCAGTTAACGTAGTCAACATATACAAGCTTCTCAAAAAAGATGTCCACACACAGAAAGTAACAGAACATGACATTTATCATATTGGCACACGTGGGCCTTCATAATACGATTTCTGATTATCCATGAAGCACATCTATAACTTAACTTTCCTGGCACAGAATGGCTCTGCAATGAAAACAAACCTATTAGGTTATTTCAATCCTTCAAGACAGAGAGCACGTTGCTATTGCTACCTGGGTATTCCAGTTAATTTCTGACACTCCTATCTATTTTTTCAAATGTACAGACAAATAACACAAATATCCACATCTTCACCACTCATATCTACCATATGCCAATATTTTCTTTTTTTTTGAGACAGGGTCTTCCTTTCACCTAGGCTGGAGTGGTGCAGTGGTGTGATCACAGCTTACTGCAGCCTCGACCTCCTGGGGTAAAGTGATACTCTCACCGCAGCCTCCCAAGTAGCTGGGACTATAGGCATGTGCCACCATGCCCAGTTAATTCTTTTTTTTTTTGAGACAGGGTCTCATTTTGTCACCCAGGCTGAGTGGAGTAGTGAAATTATAGCTCACTGCAACCACAAACTCCTGGGCTCAGGTGATCCTCCTGCCTCAGCGCCACAAGTAGCTGGGACTACAGGTGCAGATCACCATGCCTGGTTAATTTTTTGTATTTTTCTTACAGATGGGGTTTTACCATGTTGCCCAGGCTAATCTTGAACTCCTGAGTACAAGCAATCCACCTGCCTTGGCCTCTCAAAGTATTGGGATTAAGGTGTGAGCCATGATGCCCGGACAATTTTTCTATTTTTTATGGGGATGGGGGGTCTCACAATGTTGCCCAGGCTGGTCTTAAACTCCTCGGCTCAAGCAATCGTCCCACCCTGACCTCCCAAAGTGTTGGGACTACAGGCATGAGACACAGTGCCCAGCTCAGAGTTTTTTTTTTAAAGAAAGAAACAAGGGATTTCAAGGTCTTCTTTACTGTCTTCGAAATCTCTTCTTGCCATTAATCTGAATATCATTTCCATGTATATTTTAATAAAATACATTACCCTTACTCTCTTAAAAAATTACTTTCATTATATATGTATCCAAAGGCAACATATAGCATTGCTTTGCAAGTTTTAAAATTTTATATAAATGGTATCATACTTAATGTATCTACAACTTTAACAAAAGTAGGTATGTTTTTGAGATTTATCTACATTAGTCAATGTAGCTCTAAATTTTTCATTTAAATAGAAGTATACATATGTACTTATCCATTTTCCTATGAACATTTATGTTGCTTCTTTAAAAAAGCTCTTTTTTGATATTAAAAATGCTACAATATTCTCACAAATGTCTCCATGTACACATGTGAAAAATTCTAGCAAGAGCAGAAGAATGGGGTCATATGGGATGCACATTTTCAGATCTATATAGACATGTCAATCTGCTTTTCACAGTGGTAATAACAGTTAGAATTCAATGAGTAGATCATAACACCTATATCTACAGAATCTTACCAATGTTTGGTTTTGTCATACTTTTTAACTTACGCCAGTCTAATAGGTATGAAACATTATTTTGTTATATTTACTGTAATAGTAGACTATGTTATTGTAATAGGCTGTATTACTATTCACTAATATCCTGCCCCTCCTTACAAGATACATCACTGTTCTGCTGGACTCAGGCTTGGGCAATATGACTTGCTTGGGCCAACGTAATGTAAGTCCCATGTAACCCTTTTATAGGAAAGCTTTTATATAGTGTATGCTTCACCATGTTCTTTTTCCCTCAGCTACTGAGAATGCCAATATTACAGATAGCGGCTTCTCTGTCGGCCTTGGTCCTGGCTTATGGATCACAGTGACATGGTAAAGAACCCCAACAGAGCCCCAAACGATCATTTAGCATGGCCTTAGTGTTTTATGACATTAAGATTTTGGGGTTATTATCAATGCGGACATAGCCTATGATCTGTTTCCAATTATTCCCTCCATACTATTCATGGAGGTAGGTTATCCCGCCGTATTGATTTCAAGGCATGGATGCATGGAATGTAAGTAGAGATGGTGTATGTCACTTCTCAGTAGAAACTTTAACCAAGCTTATATTATTTGGTTACTCTTCCTTGACCCTTCACTTTCCTTCATGAGAACAGCACTGAGGTTCTGGGACTATTTGTTGTCAATGCAAAAGTTGACTAATACACTACGAAATATGGACTATATCAGCTAATAGAATTATATTTAATAAGACTGAACATATTTTCATATGTTTATGGGATATTTGGTGAACTGACTGTTCAAGTTGGCTCATTTTTACCCCAGTAGGTTTTCTTTTTTAAAAAATTGATTTGTTGGATTGGCGTGGTAGCTTGTGCCTATAATCTTAGCATTTTGGGTGGCCAAGGATAGAGGGTCACTTGAGTTCAGGAGTTTGAGACCAGCGTGGCAATACTGAGAGACCCCAACTCTACGAAACAAAAAAAAGCCAACACTGGTGGTGGTGCTCGCCTATAGTCCTAGCTACTGGAGAAGCAGAGGCAGGAGGACTGCTGGAGCCCAGGCAAAGAGGTTACAGTGAGCAATGATCATCCTGTCTGCCTTCCAGCTGGGGCAGGAGTAAGACCCTGTCTCAAAGAAAAAAAAAGAAAAGAAATTAATCTGTAGAAATTTATGGAAAAAGTAATTCTGTAAACTCCTCCTCTATGAGTTGCATGCATGGCAAGTATCGGTTTTTAGTTTGTAGCTTATCTTTTAATTTTGTCATTTGAAGAAAAACTTTTAAGGTGGGCAACTTTATCAACTGTTTTCTTGTTTGTTCTTTGTTGTATTTAAGATATCCTTCCCAACCTTGAGAGTATAATTATATCAATCAACTACAGTGAAGCACGGCATAAAGATATTTTGGTTAACAATGGACCCCAGCGGCGGTTTCAGAAGATTATAACACCATTTTTACTGTACCTTTTCTATGCTTAGATATACAAATACTTACCATTATGTTACAACTGCCTACAGTATTCAGTACAGTAACATGTTATATAGGTCTGTAGCCTAGGAGTAATAGGCTATACAATACAGCATAGGTGACTGTATAGTAGGCTGTATCACTTAGGTTTGTGTAAGTACATTCTATGATGTTCCCACAATGGTGAAATCCCCTAACAACATATTTCTCAGAGCATATCCTTGTCATTAAGCAATGCATGACTGTCAATCTACTCTATATTTTTAGTAAAAAGTTTCACTTTTCATATTTAGATAATTTTTAAACTGTATAAGAATTTTTTCTTTGTATATTGAAGGATAATAATTTATTTTTTTCCTATATGGACAATTTCCTAATATCATTTATAAAGAGTCTATCCTTTACCCATTTATTCAATCAACTTTTACATTTTATACTTCATGGTTTTCTAAAACCTTATATTATATCTCAGGTTTCAAATTTATTGGTCTAAAGTTTTTGCAGTATTAATAATTATGTCTTTTTATTTTTTTGAGATGAAATCTCGCTCTGTCACCCAAGCTGGAGTGCAGTGGTGTGATCTCGGCTCACTGCAACCTCCATCTCTTGGGTTCAAGTGATTCTCCAGCCTCAGCCTCAGCCTCCCAAGTAGCTGGGACTATAGGCACGTATCACCATGCTCGACTAATTTTTGTATTTTTAGTAGAGACAGGTGTTTCACTATGTTGGCCAGGATGGTCTCAAACTCCTGACCTTGTAATTTACCCACCTTGGCATTGCATAGTAAATACTTTTTCTACATTCTCTCCTCTCCTCTTATATCTTCTCTTTATTTGTAAGTTTGATAACTATAGATTACATTTTTCTTTTTCTTTTTTTTTTGTGCCAGGCTCTCACTCTGTGACCCATGCTGAAGTGTGGTAGTGCTATCATAGTTCATTGTAATCTCAAACTCCTGGGCTCATGCAATTTGCCTGCCTCAGCCTCCCCAGCAGTTAGGACTATAGGTGCCTGCCACCATGCCCAGCTAATTTCAAAATTATTTTGTAGAGACAGGGTCTTAAACTCCTGGTCTCAAGTGATCCTCTTGTCTCAGCCGCCCAACGTACTAGGATTACAGGTGTGAGCCACCATACCCAGCTTGCATGTCTATTATTTTAGTGCTTGCCTTGTTTTTTTTTTGGTTTTCATCAGTAAATATTTCTGTATGTTTTGGAAAGAAAAGCCTCTTTTGTAAAGAATAAAACCACTGCACCATTATCATATGTAAAAATTAGTAATTCCTTAATATCAAATATCCAGTCTGTATTCAAATTCCCAATTGTTTCTTCTCTTTTAAAAATACAGTTTGTTTGAATCAGAATCCAATGTAATCCATATACACTGCAATTACTTTATTTGTGTCTTACATCTCTTTTAATCTACTGGATATCCTCTCTTTCTCCCCATTCCCTTGTCATTTATTTGTTTAAGAAATTGGGGCTAGACATGGTTGCTCACATCTATAATCCCAGGACTTTGGGAGCCCAGAAGTTTTGAAATCAGCCTAGGCAACAAAGTGAGACCCCTGTCTCTCCAAAAATAAAATTAGCTAGGCACTGCAGATGTCTGTGGTGCTACACAGGAGGCTGAGGCAGGAAGATCATTTGAGTCCAGGAAGTTGAAGCTGCAGTGAGCTGTGTTCACGCCACCACACTCCAGCCTGGGTGACAGAGCAGACCCTGTCTCAAAGAAGGAAAAAAAAAAAAAAAAAAGGGAAAAAGAGTTTGCCACTTTAGGGGAATTTGCTGACTAGGTCCTCAAGGTTCACTGAACATGTTCCTCTATTTTCTCTATTTCCTGAATACTGACAGTGGGATCTAGGGTAATAATCATTTTGTGTCAATGACTTCTTTGGCAGTCTGATGAAGCCTACAAATCTCTTCTCAGAATAATCTTTTAAATATATGAAATGTAAGAGACGGAATGACAAAGGAAATCAATTACACTGAATAACAAATTATACTGTGCTTTGATTTTTGGCAAGACTACTTAAAAGGTAGCAAGCAACATTTTCAAGTTTTTAATATTTGCTGATACATTTCCCCATAGGATTTTAATTTATTCAGTTATTTTTATTTCTGAACATGACAAGAGTCTAACATGCTTTAATCACTAAACATGCTCCAGCCCAACTACATATTAATTTTATCTAGTTTGACCTTAGAGAGCACAATAACTAATTAATGTAGCAACTTTTTCATCCATGCTATTAACTTATCATTATACATTCTATGTACTTCCACTAGGTTTACTTTTCTTCTGGCAGAAATACATGCTTAATATCTTTTTTTCAACTGAAGGGAGGATCTGCATGTCAGAAAATATCTTTACTTTGTCCTCATTCTTAAATGATAGTTTAAAATAATATAAAATTTCAGTTTAATTGATGTTCCCTTATCCTTCAGAGTCTTGTTATCTAAGAAGTTCATCTAGTTACCACTATTGGTAGATAAATTGTTTCATGTAGTCTCATGGCTTTAAGTCTATCTGTCAATGACTGACAAATTTATATCTTCAGCCTGAATCTTTCCCTTTGAGTTTGCACTGGGAAGAACCAACTGTCCAGGTGATGTCCATTCTTGAATGCCTGACAGGCATCTCAGATGTAACATTTCAAAGCCAAACTCCTCCCTAATCCTGTACCTCCTTCAGTCTTCTTTATCTTAGCTAATATCAACTTCGTCCTTGCACTCAGGTCAGAAACCCACTCGAGTATTTCTTTATGCCCTCTTCTGTCTTTCTCTTTCTTTCCATTCCATGACCATCATCTAGGTCTCCTAATTTTGTGATTGTTTCCATGTTCTATCCAGTTACCAAGTTCAGAATCAGACCTTACAATTTTGGTTTTGAGTTCCTATCCCAAGTATTCTACCCTAAAATGATATTCAGGAAACAGAAGATGCAATTTTTGAACTACTGGATGATTCACCTTTTTTGGTCATCGGGATTAGTCTGTTTTTGATGTTTTTTTTCTTCCCCAGACTCCTTCTATGAGCAGAATGTCTCCACCCCAGTCTTTAAGCAGTAAGCCCTGTTCTGTTTCTACATCCTGCATGGAATACCATCAGCTCCCTTCATGCCACAGTGCTGAATATCAGACACCATAGCCTGCTCCTGGCCTTGGAGCCCAATAGGGGTCGGTAGCATTGGCTACATTCCCAGTTTAGTGCTTCTCCTCATTTCTGGTTTATGGAGATGCTAACATTACTTTCAAATCTGCCTACATTTTATTTTGGTTTCTATTTTTATATTTTACCTGTCATTGCTATGCACATGAAGCAGAAGCTTCACAGTATTAAAAAAAATAGAAGTTTATACTTAGTGTAAGTATAAATTCCTATATTACCTTAACCAAAAATTGGTGGAGTCGGTATTTTTCATTTCATTTTCACTGACTTAAAAAGTGGCACTTTCTTCCTATATATCCTCTAATTTAAGTATCTTTCCCTTTATATAATACTGCCTCCTAAAAAAGAAAGCAATAAACATATATAATGTTTCTATACACCTGAAAATAAAAACCATTTTCTGCACCACTGCATCCTTCTGAACAGTGGGTTTAAATAAAAACAGATCATGCTTCCAAGCATGAATCACTATAAGAACACCTATTGTCGGCGGGCGCGGTGGCTCAAGCCTGTAATCCCAGCACTTTGGGAGGCTGAGGCGGGTGGATCACAAGGTCAAGAGATCAAGACCATCCTGGTCAACATGGTGAAACCCCGTCTCTACTAAAAATAAAAAAATTAGCTGGCCATGGTAGCACGTGCCTGTAATCCCAGCTACTTGGGAGGGTGAGGCGGGAGAATTGCTTGAACCCAGGAGGCGGAGGTTGTGGTGAGCCGAGATCGCGCCATTGCACTCCAGCCTGGGTAACAAGAGCGAAACTCCGTCTCAAAAAAAAAAAAGAACACCTATTGTCTAATTCCTAGTATTGATAAAAACCAACATTTCCAAATTTACAAGTGATAAAATCAGTAGGAACAGGGTGAAAAACTATTTTGATAATGTTGAGGTATTCAAGTTCCAGAAATATTCTAACTATACCACTACCTATGCAAAGCTGGTTAACATGTGCTAAAGGTTTCTTTCTCTTAATTCACAGATTTTTAAAAAGTACATATTTATAACTATTTGTGGACATATGTATGTCGATAAATATACTAGTCTAAATTTATGAAAATGAAAGTCGGTACTTTTACATAACAAGAAAATATATGCCAACTTGGTTTACCAGGCATGCCAGATTTTAAGTCAAGAGATACAGCTTTTGTTTCTGGTTCTGCCGTACCTTGTTTTGTGAACTTGGGCAATTCACTGTCTTCAGGTCTAATTGTTTCCTTGCCTCTAAAATGAGGATGATCTTATGATTCTTTCTAGTTCTCAAATACTGTAACTATGCTCTTATTACTTTATTATTCCCAACAGTTTTTTCTCATTTTGCAATTTAATGTTTCTACAACTTAAGAGTTTCTTTAAAACTTAGACTCAGTTTGCACTGTAACTTTTTAAAAAATTTATACTTTAAGTTCTGGGGTAAATGTGCAGAATGTGCAGGTTTGTTACATAGGTATACATGTGCGAAGGTGGTTTGCTGCATCCATCACCCCATCATCTACATTAGGTATTTCTCCTAATGCTATCCCTCCCTTGTCCCTTCACCCCTGCTATCCCTCCCCTCACCCCCGCCCCGCTGAAAGGTCCCGGTATGTGATGTTCCCTTCCCTGTGTCCATGTGTTCTCACTGTTCAACACTCACTTATGAGTGAGAATATACACACACTGTAAGCACTGTAAGTGTTAAGCAGAGATTTCATGAGGAAAAAAACCCCTGGTTTTTCAAATAACAAATAGTGTTTGCTATAAAGCAAAATCAATTTATGGAACTATGTTAGAGAAAAGGAAAACTGATGTTTAATTAATTTATTAAACAAATACATCAGATTTTATTAGTACTCATAAGGTTCGAGCTTTCGAGGTATAAGGTGATTAATGTTTTTCTCTTCAACCATAAGAACACATAATAGGAAGACCTTAGTTTTTACTACCTGGGAATAAATACTGATTATGTATTTAGGCTATTAAAATTTTTCTTTTTTTTCATATTTTACCCAAATTATTCTAGGAATATCTTCAGAGAGATTATATCATTTTCATATTTGATGAAAAAACTTAGAAACTCTATTCAAGGATAAATGAGTTATGAATCAGGCATATATTCAGGGTAGAGTAGTCTGTTTTTCTTTTTTTTTTTTTGAGACGGAGTTTTGCTCTTGTTACCCAGGCTGGAGTGCAATGGCGCGATCTCAGCTCACCGCAACCTTCACCTCCTGGCTTCAGGCAATTCTCCTGCCTCAGCCTCCCAAGTAGCTGGGATGATAGGCACACGCCACTGTGCCCAGCTAATTTTTCGTATTTTTAGTAGAGACGGGGTTTCGCCATGTTGACCTGTATGGTCTCGATCTCTTGACCTCGTGATCCACCCGCCTCGGCCTCCCAAAGTGCTGGGATTATAGGCGTGGGCCACCGCGCCCGGCCGTAGTCTGTTTTTCTTACTACTACTCAAATATCACTTTCGTAAAATGATTTAAAAAAAAAACACTGCAGGTAAGTATATTCCTGCAAAAGTCAGAAGATCAGGCTTAAAAAAATAAGCTTTTCCTTAAACACAATGACTTCTGTGAAATGTAACAAGCTTCAGCTGCATCTCATGTGCCCAGCTGCCTCACCTCTAATTCTTTGAGGTAGTTAACTGTTGTTTCTTGTCTCATTAATATGACTAGGTCATGAGGATGCTTCAAGTTCATTGGTGAATCCACCTGCAATCAAGAAAGCAAGAAATAAATAAAGCTCAGATTTCATTAATGCTTGTTTGGCTTGATAACATCTGCTTTAGTATGCATTATTTTTCAGTCACCATTGTAATCAGTGTTACTGCTCAGAAAAACTCAAGGAGTATTTCAAAGTGATCACCTGTAAAGGTTATCAAAGGCAATGACAAGTTCAACAGTTGTCCTGTGAAGTCCAACTTGGAAGAACAAGCATTCAGTACATATTCTGACTTGACAGGTGTAAAACAGTAAAGAAGAGAAGTATGTGGCAATGAATGATAAAGTAACTTCTTAAATAATGTTTCATGCCTGCAATAATAAAAAATGAATTGTCTTGTTTTGATATCACTTTTTATATCTGAATAGGCTTGGAAGTGATAAAAGGAAAGTATTAAACATACCTCTTTTTGAAAGCTATTTGTAGAAGTCATAAATCAAAGATAATATAAAATAACCTTGAGATTTATTACTTATAGCTCATGTTCTCTGGATCAACAAATCAAACAATTATGTGGAAGACGTAGGAAAAAATGAACACTCATATACTAGTAGCTGGCTTATAAATGTGTTCTCATTGTTTGGAGTATTATTTCACAACATATATCAAGATGTTACAAGTGCATAACCTTTGACTTAGCAAAACAAACTCTAGGAAACTACCCCATAGAGACTGTTCAATAAGTAGGCAAAGATATACATAAGGATGCTCACGATAACATTTGTAGCTGCAAAAGGAACATTATAAACAACCTAAGTCAATCAATAAAGTGATAGATCCATTCATTGTCCAATGGAATGGGATAGAGGAAAAAATGTTAAAGCTACTGCCAGTGACCAGAGTAAAAGAGCTTTACATAAGGAAGCAGGAGAAAGTCTGCTTAATTTACAACTCTGCCCAGACCTCAAGAGATAGCTATTTAGTACATGACTCTATAGGCATTTTTAAATGAAATGTTTAGGAAAAAAAAAAGTGCGGGGGGGAGGGAAGGAACTGTAGAACTGTGACAGTCCCATTCCAAAATGCCTAACAAAGCTGGGCACAGTGGCTCACAACTGTAATCCAAGAACTTTGGGAGGCCGAGGCACGTGGATCACCCGAGGCCAGAAGTTTGAGACCACCTTAGACAATGTGGTGAAACCTCGTCTCTACTAAATATATAAAATTAAGCCAGGCATGGTGGCACAAGACTGTAGTCCCAGCTACTTGAGGGGCTGAGACAGGGGAATTGCTTGAACTGGGGAGGCAGAGTCTGCAGTGAGCCGAGAGTGCACCACTGCACTCCAGCCTGGGCAACAGAGTAAGACATAGTTTCAAAAAAAAGAAAAACAAAAAACAAAATGCCTAACCAGTCTGTTTACCTGATATTTGAAGAACTGCAAGAAAGAATGCGATAAATGAATATTTACATTTAAAAAAACCTATTGAAAGCATAATCTTAGCTTTAGATTAAAAAGTTACTAGATAACGAAGTTTTATAATATTTTTATAGCATGGGTCTGGTCAACATTCAATTGCGAGGAAGCATTTTTCATTTCCTTGAAGCTTTTAGTTCAGCAAAGATATAATAGCTAGAGGAGGTGTAAAGATAACATTATTAGCAGAAGGAAGGGAGTTCACTAACAGCTGTGTTTCTCTTTTGGAGATGACAGCAAATGGCAAAGATCTTTGCCAGATAAAGGTTGATTGCAGAAGACTTACAGCCTGACATGTTTGCTGAAGTACCTTAGAGTTCTTAAATTTTAAGATGATAACTGCCTTTGGGAAGTTCCAATGTGAATTTCTCTCTTCTCAAATACTTCTAAGATTATCAGAATATGTCTGACAATTTTGTGAATACAGTTATATGCCAAATACGATTTCAGTCAATGGCAGATATGATGGTGGTCTCATGAGATTATAACTATGGTATTTTTTTTGTCTTTTTTTTTTTTGAGATGGACTCTCTGGTTGCCAGGGCTGGAGTGCAGTGGTGTGATCTCGACTCACTGCAACCTCTGCCTTCTGGGTTCAAGCGACTCTTCTGCCTCGGTCTCCCAAGTAGGTGGGGTTACAGGCGCCCGCCACTACGTCCAGCTAATTTTTTGTACTTTTAGTAGAGACAGGGTTTCACCATGTTAGCCAGGCTGGTCTTGCACTCCTGATCTTGTGATTTGCCTGCCTTGGCCTCCCAAAATGCTGGGATTACAGGCGTGAGCTACTGTGCCTGGCCTAATACTGTATTTTTATTGTGCCTTTTCTATGTTTAGATACACAAATACTTACCATTGTGTTACAACTGCTTACAGTACCACAACATGCTGCACAAGTGTGTAGCCCAGGTGTGTAGTAGGCTGTACCATCTAGGTGTGTGTAAATATACTCTACGATGTTTGCACAAGGCTGAAATCACCTGATTCATTTCTTAGAACACAGCCCCATTGTTAAGCAATGTATGACCATATGACAAAATCCATTCAACCAATAAATGTTTATTAAGCTTCTATATTGTACAAGTTTGTAGCCTAGGTGTGTAGTAAGTAGGCTGTACCATCTAGGCACGTGTAAGTATATGCTGTAATGTTTGCACAAGGTTGAAATCACCTGATACATTTCTCAGAACACAGCCCCACTGCTAAGCGATGCATGACCACATTACAAAATCCATTCAACCAATAAATATTCATTAAGCTTCTATAAGACAGGCCCACTATGAGTCAATATTTAGAGTCTATGTACTCCTGTGTCATATACAGCATGTAAAAGAATGGAAATATGACTTCAAAGTCTTTAGCATTGAGAAGAGGCTGCTACAAGCTCAGAAGCAAATAGGTGACAGGAATTAGAGAGAAGTAGGTTAAAAAGGACATAATGAACACACAAGATCTCAAAGGACTTTATGGCTTTTTCACAAAGGATAAAAAAACCCTACAAACTTCCACTGCTGCACAGCACAATAAATGGTGCAAATAATGACCTGAATTGTAAAGAAAAATTGGAATCATTTTCACTTACTTAAGAAGGTGAAGAAATTATGAAAAGTATTTTAGAGAAAAATTTAAACTGCAGGGAAAAACCAATCAGGTATTTGGAAATTAGGCTATATGGAATTCGATTATCCAGAATAACTCATTCACTAAGAGTTCCATGTAAATAAAGTTTCACTGTTACTGTAGCAATTTATTATAATAAAGAAAATGACAAGCCATATAAGGCAATTTGATTTTATTTTCCTTTGAATACATTATATAAGTACAGGTTGAATATTCCTAATCTGAAAATCGGAAATCTGAAATTCTCCAAAATCCGAAACTTTTTGAGTTCATTGGAGCATTTTGGAATTTGCATTTTCAGATTAGGGATATTCAACCTGTATATATATCCAAATATATATAACAGCAGTAAATATTTTACTATCAAATTATTTTTATATGTTATTTGTTGCTTTATTTAATCAAGATATTGTTAATATCTATACCTCCAATCTGGAGCCCTATCTCAACAAATTCAGTAAATTCACATGGTAACATGGAAACATCACTCACTATATGAGGGTAATTACTTCACTGCCAAATCAGATTAAGGGTGAACATTTTAAACTTAACCAATCTAAGAGTATAAACATTTTTGATTTTCTACAAAAATAAGTTTGAGTCAATCGCTTTTTACTTATCCTGTATGGCAGAACATGAAATATTTCTATTGTACCATTCATTCAAACTCTCATGTGCTACTTATTTTTCATATATACTGAACACTTTTACCTTTGTTTTAACGATATTCATCTGAGTACATGAAAGCAACATGGGAAACTCACTCTTCTCCAAATAGCAGTTGGGAACTGATGAATATAATCTTACATTACGCCATCCTCATTTAAAATTTTTTCCCTTAAGTCAGAAACTAAGGGCAAAATAATTTTAATATTTTAATTCAGCATTATAGTTATTTAAATATTAAGATAGTATGAAGAAAAACATAAATCAAAATCTTCAAAGCTGCCAAGATTTTACCTCTATGTAAAATCTGAAATAGTTCTGTTTAGTGAGTATTTGTAGTTTTTGCTATCTAATTAAGTCCCTCCTTGGGGCAAAAGTACCTCACTTGCTTCCTTCCCCAGATGGGAAGCCCTTGTCAGAGTATTCCTTTCCCTTGGTCACGGTGATTATTTCTGAGATATTACTCCAGTAAGATCAGATGGTACTAAAGAGACTCTAATCCAGAACTTTTAGCTACTGGTGACTAGCCATCTTGTATCTACATGGGGCCTGAGAATGGGAATGAAGAAGCAAAGAAGCAGAAACAGAAAAATCAATCCTTGTTATAATATTTGAGTCCTGAATCATACTGTACCTGCAGCCCTTAGAATTTGCCCAAACATTCCAATGAGAACTTTACAATACAGAAAGTATTTATGTGTCATTTCTAAACCTCCATCTAAGTCCCTCTGCCTCGGGCATCTTATTATTACTACTGTGGCTCTTTTAAGAGCCTCTGTGCCTTTGCACATGCTGCTTCCTCTACCTGGAATGCACTTCTATCCATGTGCTGTGCATGAAGGCCAAGTGACATTTCTTGTGTGAAGACATCCTTTTCTTGAGCTCCCATAGCACTTTATACACACTTCTGTAATAGCATTTGTTATAGTATTTAATTACTATATGTCTGTCTCTCCAAAACATTTTTTAATATAATCACAGCTGATTTATTTAAATACATATAAGTCATTCAAAATCCAGGTACCAATTTTTGCTACATAGTGGTATCTATTTTTTTCAATTTTTATTTTCAGTTTCGGAGGTACATGTGCACATGTTAAGTGGGTAAATTGTGTCACTGATGTTTGGTGTATAATCTCATTACGCAGGTAGTGAGCACAGTACCTTATAGTTTTTCAACCCTTACCCTACTTCCACCCTTCACCCTCTAATAATCCTCAGTGTCTCTGTTCCCATCTTTATGACCATGAGTACTCAATGTTTAGCTCCCACTTATAAGAACATGCAGTATT